ACGGTCAGTCTCTACCTCTCGCCCACTGGCTGCGCTACTTGTCCTGCGCCCACTCGTTTATCAGGCGCGGATCCACGGGGAGGGAAATGAGGGAACCCCCTCCCCTATTTTTTCTCTAAGTATTAATTTTAACTTGTCTCCAATCTTGCAAGCCATTTTTTTGATCATTAAAACGAATAAAATCGTTTCTCGGCAACAGCTGAGTATAGCTTGCGACAGCTTACGAAATGTGTAACATCACATTCGACCAAATATTTTTAATTACCCCTCCCATAATTTGCCTCTGGATCCGCACCTGCCTTCATATATTTATTTCGCTGCTCATTTTCTTTTGCTCTCTTTCCACGTTGTCGGTCCCCTGAGCTACCTACAACTGTTTTCAGAAAATGGATCGCAGCGAAACTATTAGCTTTGTTAATTAGAATTTTTACTTCATACGCGAGTAAATTGTATAAATAACCTTCTTTGTTCCCTTAATTTGCTATAACGCTGTAGATCAGTTGCTTTGTTTTTGTTTGTTTTTTGTTGGTTTTTTTTTGTCATAAGCCTGTCCAATTTTACAATCATTCAAATCGTTAATGTTTGAAATCATGTTCCAATTTATACTTACCGGGAGTATTATTTTTCCGCCATTCCCCATTCAATGGATTCATTGGTTCTACATAATTGATCACGATTTTTACTTTAACTGGTACTTATTTTGTTCCCCAAATCCAAGCTTGAAGTTGTTAAAGCTAATTTCCGTCATTATTTCCACCTTTTCGAGCCATCTAAATTCACCTATTACAAATGAAGGTCTCATTCGCGTACGGAGCCATAGTACGAGTTAATATTACTCGTAGTTGTAAGGAGCGCGATGTGCGCGTTGCGAGCTGTCGAAGGCCACGTGTGCGCAGTGCCCGAGGCGACGGGCACGGCGTCTCGGCCGAGCAGCGTGTCGGACGCCGCGGACGGGGTGCCGGTGCCAGTGGCGGTGGCGACGCCGCTGGAGGCGTCGACGGCGTCGGCGGCGACGACGTCCTCATCAGACGACAAGCCCGCGCAGAAGATCGTCAAGTCGCTGCTGTCGCAGCTGCTGCCGTCGGCCGGCGCGGGCCCGCCGCTGCAGAGCCCGCTGTCGCCGGCCGAGCACCCGCTGGCCGGCCAGGGCTGGGCGCCGCCCGTCGTCGTGTACGAAGCCGAGCCCTCGTCCGTGGTGGCGTGCGCGCTCGCCTCCCCCGACTACCGGCGCGCGCTGGACGAGCTGCGCCGCGCCGCCAACGCCAAGTAAGCGCTGCTGCCTTTAAATGCATTTGTAACGAGCATCCTTGTGTGGCTCGCCCCTTTCATTGAGAAAATTTCCGACCAAGCGTCGGAAATCCGGAAAGCAGCAACAAGCTCTTTCCGTCGAGGCTTGAAGTTTTTGATGATAGGAAAACCCGAAGTAATAATAATAATAATAATAATAATAATAATAATAATAATGACGATGATGATAATGTTAAAAATATGGCTATATAATATATATCGCATCAGTATGATCGCATCAGTCTTCTTGCACCAACTGAAACTCTGATATGAGAGAACGACCAACGTGGACTTAGGGTTAACTTCGAACTGCCACTTGGGCGCAAAAATTGAAGAGCCGGTGTCGAGAACCCGCATAAAGCAAGAGTGAGCTAACGTCATGCGAGAAAGAGGAGGAGGGAGGAAGGGAGGGAGAGAGAGCGGTGGGAGAGAGGGAAGGAGAGAGATGGCAATTGGGCGTAGCACACACGTTTGAATTTACAGAAGAGTGGTGTATTATGCAAATATTTTAGTGACAATTTACGTTCAAATATAAAACATAGAAATTGTAATAGTTACACAATCATATTTGAAGTTACAAATTTGAAGAAAAGCCAACGTTTGATGTCCTTCGTTATGATGTAATCGCCACCGATCCCTTTAAATGGAGGGGGTGGAGATCTTGGCTGCTGATATGAATCTGCGCAGACTCGCCGACAGATGGTTTTGTTGACGGAGACTAGACCATTCCGCCACGTTCTTTCTTTCGCTCTCGCATAATTTTGCGAACAACCAACTTTAAGTCTCCAGCCGCTACTAAAAGTAAGTACAGCACCCGCACAGCTCATCGTCGCTGCGACAAGAAAGTGTTTATAATTCATTGGCGCCACAAGTGGCAAATTTCTCGGTGGTAGCCAGAAGTTTACAGTATCCTCCTAAATACGAGGGATGACCGCCCGCTTCACTCCTTACTACTTCCATGCAACTTCACGTGTAAGAGATCGTGACCGTCTAGACTGGACACTACGTAAAAAGAAGTTTACTTCTTTTTTTTTTTTTAAGATACTTCAACTTAATCACAGTGCTGATACTGGCTCCGTGCAATAGCTCGACACTTCGGGCTGCCACGTGATCCTTCGTGAGTTTTTTAATTAGGTATTTGTTTTGGTATGGGTTCAGTAAGATATCTAACTACTTATCGTTGCTAAAACCACTGGTGTCCCGAGGTCGTCATTAACTCTATATCATACACCTCACGTTTTTCTGTAATTGACATCTAAAGTAATACACACTTTCTCTGTCAAATGAACACTCTCAGTAAGGATTAATCAACTGTGCCTTTTTACTTTCGGAACATAAGTAAAACGAATGTCATGCCTATTTATGAATGCATTGAAATATTTATTGCTTTCTTCGGAATTTTCAATTTATTACTCAAAAGCAATTTCCTGTTCGGCCTTTTAGTTTATCGTCTCTTGATTATTTACGGTAAGGTATTTGGTCTCTTATTCGCCATAAACCAGCTGAAACATACTCTCCCTTTTGAAAAATATGAAGTGTTTCATTCCGTGTTGAAATGCTTGCATGAAGTGAATGCGTTTGATTTGGTCCACCGCTGCACGAGGGCGCGAAACGCAACACTGTTAGGTTTGCGCCGAAGTCTTCTTGCTGTCTCTGTGTTTAGTAAAACAGAAATTACTGTAATAGTTTGAATCGCAACTCCCCTACTTTTAATTTCCTGCCGCTCAGAAGTATTTAGGCCCAATTTTGGAAGCAGTCACAGTATTCGTTGAAAGTCTTCGTGGACATGTTAATACACACATTCTTTCACTTTTATGTAGTACACAAGAGGAGATTAGTTTATAACCTTATTTGCGATATTAATTGCACAATGTAGTACAGTGTTGCCAAACAGATGAGACCTTCATATGAAGTCTTAAATGTAATACAAAAGTCGCCGATATTTCCGAGAGTTTGCGGGTATCCGTAAGTCCTCTGGTCGTATCAAATTTTCATATATACTTTTGATACAAGAAATTGGGAAATTACGATCTCTTGAGTTTGTACATGTCTGTATTTATCAATCGACGGGAAGTTCTCTTTCATGGCAGTCGGCTCTACAATTCTTTGCTATGAATGGTTGAATGACCTCGATCGACACGAAGTATTATTCTTAGCCAGAACTAAATCCTTCAATAATCTCTGTTTTTCCCTCTGAATTCATTACTGCACTTGATCTGCAAAGTTCTGCACTTGATCTGTTTTAATTATAAAATTACCTCTTGTTCGTTTTAATTACCGTTATGTTCATGTTTTATTCTTTAACCTAAATAACTATCTTCGGGTTTTATGTCTGCAAGGAAACGTTAATGGTTAATATATTAATTACTTCACATCTGATTGTTTGAAAATATTGTGTGAGCAACGTGGTCAAAGTTATTGCGTAAACTTAAGCGGAAGCGTTTGAATTGGAAGGAAGTAGTAGCAGTAAGCGCATGTAGTTTTTCCACGGAAGTAGCATGTGTTTTTATTCTTTTCCAAAAACAAACTTCAACAAAGGTGTATTGATAACTTTTTTGCGATAATAAAATGGGCTGTGTAGGTTCGAATAGTTCGAGTTGAGTTCGAGTGACGCTTCGGAGAGTGTTCTGATTTCGAGACTGAATATAAAACGCAAATATTTTTGGGGCCTTATTAATACTTGAGTGAAATAAAACAATTATTGAAATTATTTGATAAAAATCAAAGAAACAGACAAGCAAAAATGTAAATTCCATTCGGTCATTAAAATAGGTTTTATAAATAGTAAATTCTAGTTTAAAAAGTTGAAAATAGCTGTATTTTTAATATTTTAACCATTTAAAATGTTGGCTACATATTCATACAAATTATTCGTATTATTATTATTATTATAGTATTATTATTATTATTATTATTATTATTATTATTTTGTACCCTAATACAAAAGAGCCACTTTAAAAACCGACCGTGGGAAGTACTAACGATTTTTAAAAAATCAAGAAATTGTCAAAACTAGACTATGGTTTGAAAAATTATATTTTTAAAGCACATTTTCACCCGATATAAGTGGTTTGGTTCAGTTTCTTTTTCACTCAGCATCGACGTTGCCTCCTCAATTCTTACAACCTCCTGCGGCTTGGTAATGTATCGTATGGGTATTTTGGCTCGGACATACAGAATTACTTATACTCGTACCACGAAGAAGCACACTTTTCTCGTGCAGAGCATTATAAATACTCCGTTACGAAACAGCTCAAGTCACTTTGTTGTCTGACGATGTGTCATTTCCTTTAACAACGTGTGTATAACGATACATTTTCTCATGTTATTTGGTTGTTCTTTTGTCTATTTTCGAAGCTTTCCTGACAGGGCGGAAGCTGATATATTCCTTTGTTTGCTTCTAGACAATAAATGTTACTTCATTTTTCTTCCACCGTTAGATACAATATAACATTTTTTCATCTTGTAAATTTTCATAATCAATGTTAATTTTATTTGATAGTTATTATAGACGTCCGTTTTCTGCGATAAAATGCAGAGTTTATTTGCCCTGCGGGGCCAAATAGAGGGATGAGGATTTGCCTTCGTGCGCAATGAAGTTATTTACGCCCTTGTTTAACGCTCGTTCATAATGGCAGAAGTTCCCTAATGTCCGCCCCAACTTTGCCTGCAAAGAGCCGCGTGCACGAGACTTCATCCCAGAATCCCATAAAAAAGTCCTCTGCTCCAGAACATTGAGCCCAACGTAAATTCTAATTACAAATTTTGAAACTTATCTGGCAATATACTACGACTTTCATGTTCATTCGTGACTTCATTAATTCAGAACATGCCCTTGAAAATGAAGGGAAATAATCCATTTCGGAGAGTCCACATGATATAATTGGGAAACAGGGCAAAGAATTGGTAAGCTCTTTGATGAAAGAAGATCCAGCAAACATCGACGAATACACATGTTGATACACATGATGATCATTCGTTATTAAAAATAGCAGTATTGTATTAAAGTACTACAAATGCGTTAATTTGACATATTATGTGCACATGCCCAATCGTGTTGTGCAAGTACGCCCATATCGCGTTATAAATGAAGAATCGGTTTGTCAACTGTAACAATTCGAGATTAAAATGTGCACCTCGTATTTAGTCTACACTTGTAAGATAAAGTTGAGTTTTAGTAACTCGTATTAAACCTAAAACAAATGTTTACCGGCCATCAAAAACATAGTTGTGTTAAAGTTTTCATGTTGAATTTACGTTGCTTTTCCCCTCAGTTTCCAAGGTGATTACGTTTCCCCCAGAACAACAGTCGACTGACTGTTGAGTACTCACAGTAGTCGCCCGATGCTGTCTATGACTTAAGGAGAGTCTATAATGACGTAACACGTGATTGGGGAAGCGATGGTTATCCGGAATTTAGGTTGCGTTATAATTAAAATACAAATAAATAAGTAGATCTGGTGATCTAGGAGTTCTGATCTTGTTTGCTTTCTCCGGTTCATTTCAAAAATTCTATTTGGCAATACTAGTTTAAGACGGCGGGTGGATTAACTTAAATATTGTCTGGGATACTAACAAAAAATGGATAATACATCATAAAAAGCTCTGAAAAAATAGGAAAAAATATGATAGCGAGTTGCTGCAAAAACGTGTATTCTAATAATAAAAACTACACTGGGCAATGTAAACATTAAACACATGCAATGTAGAATCTCTTTTTTGATCAAAATCATCCGTAATATAGAAGACGTGTAACACATATATCACCAACACAAAAGGTTGCAATTAGACCTCCCGAAGTTTTATTTGTACAAAAAAAATGATTCGCTGAGATAGTTCGTTGTGGAGAAATTAATAACAATAATAATAATAATAATTAATAATAATAATATAAATAATAATATGATATAAATAATAATTAATAAGAATAGAAATAATGATAATTTCAATAATAAATTATGCCAATTTATTTCTGTTCTTTTGTAGTACTCCCTACAGTTAATCGTAATTGTATAATAATTTGTAGGGAGGTTGGTCCCTGAGTGTCTTGAATGCGTGCGCAGGGCGTGTCCGGAGCAGCCGTCGCCCAGCCCGCTGCACAAGCGGCGTTCGGCGAGCAGCACCGTGTCCTCGTCGGGGGCGTCGAGCGCGACGTCGGGCTCAGCGGCTGCGTCGGGCGAGGGCGACGCGTCGTCGGCGACGCCCTCCTCGTCCGCGTGCGGCGAGAGCGGGGGCGGCGGCGCCGGGGC